CACGAATCCGTGTCTGATTCGTGTCAGACACGGATTCGTGGTCTCCGGGGGAGTATCCGTGCTTCATAGATGGTAAGTAAGCAATTTAACATTTTACCAATCATCAGTAAAGTTCAAACAAATTATACACTCAACGTTTGGATCCTTACAAGCCAAAGATCAAACACACCAATACCAGAACAGACTCAGATTTGATTCCTACCAATACATGTAGGGATCAAAATACACCAACTATAGTAAATATATCACAAGTGACATACACAAACAATACTATAATAAAAAACCTACACTAGCATATGATAAACCTGTACAATCCTCTAACCATTCCAGACTCTATAGCTAACTCAACAATATAGAACTCAACAATATAGAATTCCTGATCAAGACTTAGTCACAAATTCTGGAGAAATCTAGACTGTGGGATAATATATTTCATATATTTGTTTTATTATAGAAACAAAACAGGGAGGGAAAAAACTTTCAAATTTTTGTTCTTTATTCTCTTTGTTTTGATGGTCCTTCAATTTTGTTCTGAGGCCCGTGTCTAGATCGCAAGTGTTCAAAATAGCACCGTGCATTTGTTTTGCTTGAGGAAGAGAATCATCAAATTGGAGTAATGCAAACAAGGAGTCATTTCATGGGGAAAGAGATTCTGCTAAAGGCTTGTATGATAGGGGTAGAATGTTTTTGCACACAAACACAAGCTACTGATGCCTAGCTTCGGTGGTTTACTGTAAAAAAATCAACTTTAAATGTATTTTATGTATAAATTGAAAATAAAAGGTGGTTTTCATATAATTACCCTATTTTAAAGTGGTTTTTAGGATAAAACCCTTAAAAATAGCAATTGGGAGTCTAATCCTCACCGATGGAGTTCTTTTTGGAGGTGGGGGTGGGCTGGGGGTGGAGGTGGTGGTGTCTATCCACCTCCGCAAAACATCTTTAACTATTTTAAGCGTAAAAAAATATTCACTCTATGGTCGACTCACACAAATACAATTATAAGGGGTCTATCACAATTGCACAATACTGGAGGGAGTCTATTTGCTATTAGCTTGTTTTCATATTTTTAAAGTCATGTCCAACTCATTGGAAATGTATTAATTAAGGAGGAAAATAATTCCATGTTGCCCTCACTGAAATAGTGTTTTTGGTGGTGTTTAGGGTGGAGAACCTATAAGAATTTTGTTCGGGTAGAATGTTGTTCGTGCAATATCTTTTGCTTGATCAATAACAAACTCTCATTTGATGTTAATTAGTTTGTGAGATAATATATTTCAGGAATAAACATGTACGAACAAGCTAATAGCAAATAAACTGTGGGAGTCTAGACCTTACGTAGGTGCCTAGATCTTACATAGGTGCCTAGGTCTTCATAATCCCCGTATGGTCGAGTGACGGCTGTAGGAGTCAACCATAGGGTTGCTTTTTGACATACCAACCCTGAGGTTGGGTTGCCTATGACTTATTTGGACGCCTGGGTTTTTGATTAACCATGATGGTCGAGTAGCACTGGAGGATTCGACCATATGTTGTGCCTTGGGTTTACCCTGAAGAGGTACCAATGGCTTGTTGGAGGTGCCTAGGTCTTACGTGGTGCCTAGGTCTTTAGCCCTAGTGAAGGTTTGATCCCTGCGAGATAAGAGTTAATTCATATTTGATAAGATTTCATTAATTCTGAAATTTACATGATTATGAAAAGTATCCATTGCATACATCCGATGCTCAAGAGGGTTGAATCACTTGTGCTCTTGTTGTGTCTTTGTTTCAAAGGCAGTTTTGTAGTGGATGAGGCCGCCAATATAGAACCTTTTTAGCTAAATTCTG